CAAAATGAAGTGGAGCGCTGGCGCCTGAAAAAAAAAAAAAAAAAAAAAAAAAAGCTGTGCTATTAGTTATAAAGAAGACAGCTTTAGGCTACAGAAAGCAGAGAAGTGTTGGAGTTGCGGGGAGGGAAGGCAGAAATATCCTCACCGGGCTTGTTAGTATTTTGGCATCCTTTTTGTTGAAAAACAAAAAGATAGGGGGGATGGTGTGGGACGCACTGACCTGCACGAGGTCCGGTGTGAGCCGCTTGGCCCGCAGCCACTTCTGGACGCGGGTGGTGCGGCGCAGGGCGCGCTCCAGGCTGCACGTCCTGGTCTTGAGGAGCGCCGTGCAGATGCGCTTGTCGGCCTGGTCGTGCTGGTACTTGGTGGTGAGCCTGGTGATGTCCACCAGCCGCCAGCTCTTGGCATCGTCCGTGTAGTTCCCTGAGTAGCTGAGGAGGTAGCTGGGGGGCAGCTTTAAATGAGAAGAAAGCCAGTTGTCAAACCTGCCGGACCAAAACAAGACCCCCCCAGAGAGTGGGTTAACGAGCCGCAGGAAAAGGCACAGCACAAGCAAAACTGCAATCTCTGCTTCTAACTCTACGGGCCAAGCAAAGCACTGAATCGACCCCCAAAAGCTTCCCGGGCAGGTGGGGAGAGGGTGCCAGTCACCGCAGGAGGCTTCTGCTGGCCCTGCACCAGGCCTCGTGTGCTCACCTCTGCCTGCACACGGCCAAGTGTGCGTGTGCGCGATCGAGCGAGCCTGGAGTCGTAGAATCATGATGGTTGGAGGAGACCTTCAAGATTATCATGTCCAACCATAAACCCATCACCCCCGTGCTTGCTAAACCATGTCCCCAAGTGCCTCATCTACATGTTTTTTGAACACTGCCAAAGAAGGTGAATCTACCACTTTTTTGGGCAGCCTGTTACAATGCTTGGCTGCTCTTTTCAAAATTTTTCCTAATGTCTAACCTGAATCTCCCCTGGTGCAACTTGAGGCCATTTCCTCTTGTCCTATGGGTAGTTATTCTGGAGAAGAGACTGACCTCTGCCTCACTACAGCCTCCTTTCAGGTAGTTGTAGAGAGCAGTAAATGAGATTGTAAGTATTCAGACACACGATCAAGCGTGCCTGTGCATGACCGAGCGTGCATGTGCACAACTGAGCGTGCATGTGCACGGTCAAGCATGTGCTCCTGGGTGCAGCTTTGGTTATTTGATGGCACAAACTAAGCAGCAGCAGGTTGGTATCCCCAAGTACCTTCCTAAGCAGGGCAGGAGTAAGCGTTGAGCCAACGAAATGTTCTTTGGAAACAGAGTAGATTTTCACTCCCTGCTTAAAGTTTCTGTTGTTCTGGACAGGGTTGTGTGAGAGCTGGAGGGGAAAACCCCAAAGAATATGGTGATTTGGGCCATGTAAATGGAAATTGTGAAGGGAGAGGAATTCAGAATAATCAGCATTTGAAAAATGTCCCACAGAACAAAAATTGATGGAGGGGGAAAAAGGCATTTGGAAATATCATAATGTCCTTTTGTTTTGAGGCTGTGGCTTTACTTTGTATTGATGCAGAAGAGAAGGTGTTTTTCATGTGTTTTAATCAAAATGCTAACACCAAAACAAAGAGCACGGAAAATATCTTATTTGAAGTTTTTGATGCCAGGGGTACATTGCTAGGAAAAATTTAACACCGTGACCCAGTGCTCTCTGCCACCACACATGCTTTTGTAGTAAAAAATGCCAACCAGCTTTCATGTTAAAGCTGGTCTTTGCCCCAGATAGCCACCGTTCTGTCCTTTGGGGAAAAAAAAAAAAAAAAAAAAAAGAAAAAAAAAAAAAAAAAGAGAAAAGTGTCCAGGCAGAGAGCGGTGCTGGTTCCTGGAGCTGGTCCCTGTGCTGGCCATGTGCAAGGTGGTGGTGGGGACAGGGTGGTCCTGTTGGATCTCCTCCTGTTGTCGGCAGGTACCCCCCGACATCACTGCCTGGGATTTGGGGATGCACTGGGACGAGTGACCTCCCTGCAGGGACAGGGCTTTGGGGCTGCTGCGGGAGGGAGCCTGGGGACGCTAGTGCTGGGCGTGCGGCTGGGCTGTAGCCATGGAGGCTTCCCCCCCCCCCGCCACATCCGTGGCGTGCACAGCAGGGGAGCATATGGGCCGTGCAATTAGGCTGCGATGGGGTTTGGTTTTTTTTTGCTGCTGTTGTTTTATCGGCCCCCTCAGCCCTGCCCACGCATGCGTGTCGCATGGAGCGGGTAAGGGACACCGCGGGCATCTTGCTAAGTAAATCTGTAACCCACTCAGATAAAGTGCTTGAACTCTAACCTTCAGCGAGGCCAGCGTCAAACATGCGTTGCCTCTGAAAATCCCCTAATTAAAACTCTTGCTTGAGTGCCTGAGAAAGCATTTCTTAATTTAATCTCATCATAAATTAAAGCAGGTAGCTCACAAGTGAGATAGGATGGGCAAGCAGCTGCGTTCAGGATTATCTGGATGGAACTGGATGAAAAGACATTAACGAAGTTGAAAGTTGAAGCTGATTTTTTTTTTTTACATCTCCAGTCAGGCAGTCTGCACAGAGAAATTTTTGGGGGCATTAGTGACATTTGGCCCACTTCCCTCTTCCTCCCTCATTTGGCTGGTTTTGGGGTAGGACTTTCTAGAGAAGGCGATAACCACGGTGCCTTACAATGATTTGTTTTGCAGCATGCGGCTCCCAGTACCTAATCTGCAACAGGCACAGCGTGCCAGGCTTGTACAGGGAGGAGGCAGCAATGGGCTCCGGTGGGTTTTTCTTTTCTTTCTTTTTTTTTTTTTTTCTTTAAGTTGAGCATAAATGTGCCTTGTGAGCTGGCCTGAGCGTGTGTGTGTATTCATGGGAGTTCACGCCAGGCAGACTCGAGCAAGGGGCTGCCTCCCGCACCAAGCAATGCATGGACGTGTGAAATCCAGCGCTGAGCATTAGTGTGAGCACAAATGGAATAATTTCCTCTGTGGAAGTCCCTGGAGGGAGCCGCGCGGGCCTGGGAATGCGGCAAGGGCTGCAGCAAGTCTGTATTTGGCATCATTTCTGGGCAGCACAGCACTGGCCTGGCACACTTTCTGGATACTTTCACGATTCATCATCAAGTTGAGCCATAACAGTAATTGGCTGTTCTTGTAGGAAGCTTTAGCTAAGGGCTTGAATATCCTTTAATTAAGACTTGCAGCAAGAGATGTATGAATAACCGATTCACTGATTAAAGATTTTAGACCAGCCTAAAACTAAATGTTGAAGAAAGTCAAATTTGCTTTTCTTTCTTCTGAATGGTGCAAAGTATTTTGTTTCAGCCAAAATATTTTCACTTGTATTTGAAGTTTACATCTCTTTAAAGACAAAAATCAGGTAAGTCTTAAAACAGCTGAGACCATGAGAAATAAAAATGTTGCATAAATCAAAATGACAATTCCTGCTTTTTCAAACTTCCTTCCCACTACTTTTGGCCAAAGCTGGTCACCACATTGGCACGAGGCTGCAGGCAGTTTCGATCAGCCCAGTTTTGCAGTATCTTATGAAAACTTTTGCTGAGCTCTGCTCGCAGGCCAGTTGCGAGGCGGGCTTTGGTTGTGCTCATTTACAGATGGGCGAAGTTGGGCAGCGATAGGGGAAGCAGCGAACATCAGAGCTCGTGATGAGTCACCAGCAGCACTGAGAGCAAAACCCACATCTTCACACTCACCGTCCACGTGCGAACGCGTGCGGCAGCTCCCGGAAACCATGGAAAATTAACGAAGCATTTTCTGATGAGGATTAGCACAGAGCAGCGCAAAGTGCGTGCCAAAGAGCATGCGAAAAGGTGGAGGGCCGCGGGGGGAGGATGTCAGAGCGTAAGCGACTGTGAAATTCTCCCCATTTCACCTTCCCCTGCCACGTGCAGTTAAGTAAGTGCTGCAGCAGGCTCCAGATATTTTCGGAAGGATGCTGTGCAGCCCCAGCCCTCCGCAGAATAAATGGGAGTAAGGGAAAGGGAGCATCTGTGACGGGGCCGGCCTGGCCCCCTCCCTGCCACCGTGTTTGTATCTGACTTGGTATCTGACTTTTTTCAGCGAGCAGTAAGGAGAGAATGGATGGTCATACACTAAGTCCATCTCCGGCAAACCGTTACGGTTTTTACTGTGTGAGGTTCTATAGGACAGTTTAAGATAAAAATGGTGATATGTCCAATATTATGCTACTTACATTATAGTATTAAAAATACAATTTTACTATAATCGTTTCTTCTCCCTGGGCTTATATAGCTATAAAAGAAAGCGCATATGGCTCTGTAAATCATACCAGACCCAATAAACCTTTCCTCTGCCAAGCATCGCCTTTAACTTTAACATTAATGTACTCCAGCAACATTTTCCCTGCTGTTGTCAGATATGCTCTGCTTTGGAGCCCACGACTGATTGGATCAGTCCAATGGCTGCTTGCGCAGTGTACGTCTAATTGACTTAGAGGCAATTTCTGCCTTCAGGTTCTCACTGAAAACTCCCCAAAGCGTAATAATACTTTGGCCACGTCCATGTTCTGGCACTCAGGTGTCTGAAGCGCAGAAGTTCTTTTGCCTCAGGCAAGTTGGCATCTCCTCTCATTTTAGCTAACACACAGACAACCTTCTGCACATTCGCGTTGTTGCACCTGACACAAAATCATATAGGACTTCAGATAGTCCACTGGAAGTGTGCAAAGGTAAATTCTCTTTACCTCTAGCTAGTTGCTCCTAATCAAATACCGCCAGTGACATCCAAACAAGCGGATCTCCTCCTTCCCTCTCCCCTTCCCCACGGTTACAAGGGCATTCTGCATGCAGAAAGTCCTGCCGTTTGCTTTCAAATTATAATTCAGGGCTGAAGTCTGATCATGTTTGTGTAGCTTTAAAAGGGAATGAAAACAAAGCAGCAGCTTGTAGGCATTAATTAAAATACTAGGAGCTGTAAGGAAAGCCTCGTGATAAGTTACTCTTTGCGTTGCTTTTCATTAAAGTACGTGGAAATATTAACAGGCAACTTTTGAGCTACTATGCAGAATGCTTTTAAAAATTACTGTGCTGAGTTTCTGACCTTATTTCTTCTTTAAAGAACTTCTTGCAAATGGACGTCCCAATGCAGGCGTTGCATTTATCAAGTCCCAGGAATGTCCGGCCAAAAGTGTAGCTGGGTTTGACGTGGGGCACAGGCGGAGAAGCTGTTGCTTCCAAGGAAGGACTACAGCTCACAGCCAAAACCAGAAGCAGCATCAATGAGTCTGCAGCTCTGTAGCAAGGGCAGCATGTCCAGCGCCCCATCTACAGTCCCTGGGAGCCCTTCCCTTTGGAAGTCGCCTCTCTCTGCACTTTTGGTACCGTCTGATGGTCTCAGCCTGCAGCCGTGAGCCCCGAAATGCAGCGAGAAGCACCTGGTCCAGGAGACCCAGCCGCAGTCCCCATCCTGCCAGTTGGTCGCTGGTTCTATCGGCTTGGGGTTTGGGTGGGAAAGATATGATGTGGGGTGGGGAGAAGGAAATACATGGAGGATGCAGATAACTCGGGTTGCCGTGGTTACCTTTCCTTTCCTTGGCGCAGCTGCTTCGGCCCCTGCTGACCCTCCCGTCGGCCGACTTGGGAAACAACAAGCAGAAGTGCTCGTCTGCGCTTCGGGCAGACAAATGAAGGATATCCTGCCGCCGCCGCAAAGGGCACGGGCAGGACACCGAGGCGATCCGGGTGGAGCAACAGCGCGGCCGAAGCGCGCGTTTTACCAGAAGCCGAGCAGAACTGCCCTGTTCCTGGAGGTCTGCAAAGGCGCATTGCTTCACTTCTGGGATGCTCTCTTGGCTCAGTTTCTCCTTCTTGCACAAGCGCTGGAAAGACTGTCAGGTGGAATCATCGCTGATCATCGCAACATTCCTTTATTTCTTGAAAATAGTCTTATTTAATAGTGATGGGGCCACAGCGTCTCATGCTGTGGATAGTAGGATAGCCTGAAGCTCTCGAAAGCACCAAGCTGACGTAACCTCCCAGCTTCCAAGTTGCTCTTGAAAAATAAGACTATTCAGCAGGGCTCGTGGGCTTTTGAATACCTTTTCCCTGTGCTCCTGGTGCTAGAAGGGGACAAGGACAAGGGATAGGGGGCTAATGTGGAAGCTTGACAGCAGTTTCGAATACGCTTATAAACTATTTTGATCACACTCAAAAGCTGTGCACATTAAACCAAACACTTGAAAGCTACGGAAATTGCTGGATATCCGTTATGGCCCGGCTCTGGAGCCAGGACCATGGCTCTCTGGTGCGCAGAGGGGCCGGGGTAGTGCGCTGGGACAGGCTGCTGCAGACAGCTGCTCCCAGCCCGTGAGAGAAGACCTTGAACGGACGCTCCTGGTTGTACCTGGCCCCAGATAGCAACAGTGCGGCACGTAGCTGCAGCTGCACCCTGTTTAGCTCTCCTCCCATCCCCAGAGCTCGTATTTTGAGTGGAACAGGGGGATCCTGGTCAACAGCTCGCATAGGAGCTGAGGGTCCAGAGACTTCGTGTCTCCCACCATTCAGCCGCTTAATCCCCATGCAGGCAATCCATTTCCTAATACATTTTAGAATAAAAAACCCCTGCACATTCCAATCCTTTACTATCATCTCCCTCGTCGTGTGACCCTCAGCCCAGACTGCTGAGGCTGCAGGCCTAATGGCACGAGTGAGCAGCTGGAGCACATGCCATCTTGGTGCCGTGGATAAGCCATGAAGAGAAGGTTTCTTCTGGGCCTGGACAAGCAGGCTCTGTGGTTGCTCCACACTTTTCAGGGAGGCTGCTGAGGATCCTAAGGGCGCAAGGTGACACAGATGTGCATTCGTCGGGGGTGGCATGCGGGAGACCTGGGAGTCTCTCTTTGGCTCCACCACCATCAGAAGTTGTTCCACCTTCCTGAGTGTCCCAAAGGGTAAAATGCAGGTAATGGCAAATTAGCCCTGCTGAGAGACCAGAGGGATGCACAAGCCCCAAGAGTGCTATGTGCTGAAGTGGACCCAAGCAAGCACCTTCAGTGTGCAGCTCTGCCTTGAGTCACGGTCACGTTTGGCCGTATGCACCTGGGTAAAGCTCTTTGAAATCTGCTGATGAAAGGAGCCACACAAAAGCTGCACACAGGCATTCACTGCCTGCCACATTCAGCAGTTTATTCCGTTCTCTGGGCTTTCCTATTGTTAGGGCCTTTCTTCCTTTTCCCTCTATAGAGATCAGCCCTTTCCACTGTTTCCTGTCTCTCTTCATCACTGGTAGCCCTTCATCATTGGTAGTGGCAACTTTGCACCCTAATCAGCTTTTCCCCTAATGTTACTAAAATTAATACCAGCAATCTGTCTTTATCTTCATTATGTAATACAGAAAATGCATATCCTTGGTTTACTTTAATATTTTAATTGCCTGCCTTCAGTCTTCAATTTTCTGTTGTAATTTTAATATCAGAGGTCCTGACTCCTGACTCCCAGCTCTGCTCTTTCAGCTCAGACTGTACTGCCCCACAGGGAGCTGTGGAAAAGGAGAGGGCTTAATGCTCTCAGGCAATTAACTGGACCTTTTCCGTAGTTAATGCAAGTGACTTTAATGCCTTTGCATTAAAAAATGGTGCATGGAGAGCAAGATTTCTGTTCTGTTAATGATACCTTGATGGCTGTGTTGTTCTTGCACTTTTGCTTAATTTAGGAATATGTAAAGCAATGTTTTTCTCTCTTAAGCAACAGCATGCATAATTGTGTTTTCCTACAGAGGATCACAGTTGTGTCACCTTGAAATGTTATAAAAGCAACTTTTTATTAAAGAATGGGAACAGGTCTATCATATCCACCCCAGGAGCTTGCCACGGGCCTTTGCGCTTTGCTCTAGGATCTGAGCCCTCTTATTCCCTCAGTCTCTGCTATGATGTGCATAGCAAAAACTCAGATTTGCTCATGGCACTGAAATGATTAAAATGATTAAAAATTAGTGCACATACCTCTAAGCTAGCCTAGAATTGCAGTTGCGAAACTGCAGCTTACTGTATAGTTTGAAAGCAGCCTCTCTTTTAAAGAGGTGCTTCAGCAGGTAGTCACATGTGCTTTTTTTTCCTTTCCTTTTGCTCACTTCCCAGAAAACTTGATGTCAGCCACCCTGATGGAAAAGTTAAAGTCGTTTATAAGAAGTGATAACTTCTAAAAACACAGAATCAGTCTGGTCTACAGGCCTAAATGCATGTGCTGTAATATCAAAGTCAGACCAAGGAGGAAAGCTCAGAAACGCTTTCGGGATGGTCTCTACAGACAAGAGTGAAAGGATTTAGACCTGGTGTCCTGACCCTGTCCTCCCTTCATGCTCAGTGGTGATAAGGGGTGCAGAAACGTGCCCAGCCTCCCTGCTGAGAGCGCTGCTCTTAGGCAGCTTTGAGCGTCAATGGCTGCAGCCTGGTTTGGGCAGGGTTCACAGTCCCACCCCTGTGTGAGCCAGCAGCAAAGAGGTAGCGTTGGGGACTCCTGGACTCCCACTAGCACATTTCACCCTTTCTCCTATCTGAAATGGGGTTCATGCAACAGTGCCTGACAGGACTGTTGTGCCAGTTATGATGTAGCCACCTCTGTGTGACAACTGGTGCATCGGGGTGATCCTGATCACAGAGGCGTGTGCAACCATGAGCTGCCTCTTCAAGGGCAAGCAATGGGCAGAAGGATCACGTAGTAGGCCCAGCCTCCAGTTTCAAAGTGATGAGACACCTGGTGAGGTATCCTACAACCAGCAGCAAAGCACAACCTAAATGTGCGGCCCCAGGAGCAGTAATTGTTGCTTGGAGATGCTGGGCAAAATGTAGCACCCTTACCTGGCAGCTTTGCTGTGCTGCGGGGTCATGGTGCCACCCGAGGGAAATATTCTCCCCCAGATCATACAAAGTATCAGGACCTATGCCTTCCTGTGGCTTGCAATGGTTTATAGTCAGAGATGTATCTAAGAGTGGTCTGATCTTCCTAAGCATACGTAGGGGCAAATTCACCTTTGATTTAACCTCCCTCAGACGGTTATTATGAGTATTTATGGGTGTATTATGTCCAGCAATAATGTTAACCACCACTTCTCTCTGCCTCCATCCCTTGCCCACCTTTACCCATGAGACTCGGGCTGCTCCAGGGGGTGTTTCAGGCTCCATGAGCCTCTGGGCACCTTGTGGGTCTTGCTGGCTGGTTCGCAGGGTGCTTTGTTGCTCCCCTTGAGTGATCCTGGCCTTGCTGGGAAGCTGGTGAGAGCTTTCCAGAGCCGGAAAACATTTTAATTTGCCTATCTATGCAGGGGAACTGCCAGTAAATACTTCATCATTTGCAGCAAGCTGAGCAGACCCAGTGCAGCTGATGGTCCCAATGGGGTCCTCACTATTAATAACCTGCCTATCTTTAGCAGGACCTTGCTGCCGGGGCTACCTAAGCAGCAGGTTTCTGATGTCATATCACCTTATGGGTTTTTTTAAAGCAAGGCTAGGGGCTACGGCTGCCAAAGAACCCTGTCAGCAAGTGCAGGGTTGCTGAGCTGCAGAGTATTGCCCAGCGGATCCCGGGATTGCTGTGGGATTGCTGCCCCCGCGCATGGGGGCAAGCAAAGCAAAACTTCCTTCTCGGGACAGTGGGGAAGTCAGTGCAGGGTGTGGGACGGCATGGTTGTTCCCAGTTGTTTTTCTCATTAGTCACCTCCAAGATAGCCATTAAGCGATTGCCAAGTCACGTGTAGAGACCTGATACGGAGCTGCTTGTCAGTTCAATCCCTGTGCAGGCTGGATGTGTGGATTAATAGCTGAGGCAGCTTGGCACATTTTGCATTCTTATAAAGTGAGAAAGAAAATGGCTTTTGAATGCTACAAAACTCATAATATTTGGAAGGATTTGAACACTTCCTTTTTTTTTTTTTTCCCTGCTTTTTCCTCCTGATTGCATGATTATGAAAGAAACATCTGTTTTGAAGAGATCTGAAACAGAAGATTTTTCTTCCCACTGGAGCTGAAACGGACAACTTCTGTAACATATTCTTACTATCTCCACTCATTTTCTTTCCTCTTTTCTTCTGCTAAAAGATGAAAGAGAAAGGGAGCGGAGAAGAAACAAGAAACTCTGCCCAGACTACAAACAAAGACGAAACAAAAAACAAACAAACAAACAAACAAACAAACAAAGAAGAGCAAAAAAAGAAAAAAAAAAGAGCCCACTGAAGTGTGGGTGGTGTCAAACACCACAGTCAAACTGGTAGAGCGTGTTTTCACCTCAGTTCATTATGAGAATGCTTGAAGTTGTGTGTGTGCGGACTTTTCTACATTTTGAATCAGCAAAATTGTTAAAGCACAAGCAAAATGTCATTTTTCCTTACCAAGAAATAGTTCCTATGGTTTGTCAAGCCCAGATGTAATTCCCAAAGGTATTAACATGCTAATCTATTAATAACCTAAGAATATAGTTGCAGTTCT